ACCTACCTCCCTCTCCGACCTTTCCTGGAGGTCACCCATCTACCCGACCATATCTGCAGTTTTTCTCCCTTCCTACAACTGCCATCCATCACACCCCCTCTTTCTTGAAAATCCCTTATTGCCTCTAAATGCCACTCCAACCGATCCATGTAATCCAACAGGATTCGCAACCAAACACACTTCCTGCAGACAAAATCATCAGTAACATGGAAACTCTCCCTAATCTCCCACATCCAACAGGAAGAGCATATCACTCTACTAAAGGCCATCTTTGCACCTTTACAATCTACAGACCCAGAAAATAGCTCAGTCTTACTGCTCTAAAAACATTGCTCCAGGCTAGCTTAGTACCTATGTTTTTATATTTTTTAAATTTAATCAAGAGACAGATCTCAATTAAAACATACAATTAAAAAAGAACCCACTCTACTCACTATTGTAGATTTACAAAAGAAAAACAGTAAGGTTACATTTTAAAAGGTCACTTAGCTGCTCCCCTACTGTGAGCTCCCACACACACATTTCTCCAAGGTCAGCTGTGAATTTCACTGTTTGTTTTTTTTAGAATGAACGCCAATGCCCGGAGATACTTGAAACCAAACAGCAAAGGCAGCAGTTGTGCAGGTCACCGCTGAGTCAGTCAGCAGTGTAGGTTCTTCCTCCATTTGAATCACTTCCCATGTGGTCTCTACCTTTGTTTATTTTGATCTTTCTTTCCGCCAAAGTTCCAAAACAATGCAACAGCTTAACAAATAGTAATTACTGCTCCTAAAATTCCAAAAAATTAGCTCCAACAATGAAAATACCTCAAAAAAGAATAGCTCTTACAGCCCCAACTTTTTCCCATCCTCCATCTTGGATTACCCGGAATCCTTCTTTGCAGGGAATTACTGGTTATTTACATTATTCAAAACCCTTCTGAGATTTCAGTACACCCAGGTTAATGGCCAACTTCTTTTGATTCTGCTGGCTGATTGTTATAAATATTTATTGCTGCTTCATATGAATAATTTTTGTCTTTGGTATGTTCAAAATTTATTCGCTTCATAAGTGTAACCTAAAAGCCCAGGACTTTCAAAAGCAGGTGAAAACTCAACATGTAATGAGGCTGGAAACAGAGATCACAACCTTCTTTCACTTGTATTAGGACAATTTGCAGAGGGTGGGAATGGCTGCAGGAGAAACTGCGTATCCTGAATAGGCTAAATAAAAGTCCATTCTGAGGGATGCCAAATGCCCTGGAAGCATTGCACATCAAGGGCAGCTTTTCCCCATGGGTTTCGGAGCTCAGACATTGGGACCAAATGGGGATCCCACGCCTGTACTTGCTGGAAGCAAGAGCACTGGGGAGAGCTAATTTCCTGGAGTTGACCATCTGATTGGCTGCCTCCAAGTTCACTGAGGGTTTGGACTTGACTTGGAGAGCCCCATAGACAGAGCATAGCATGATGGGCCGAAAGCCACCTTCTGTAGCATGTCCACTTCAACTGGGACTGTCTCCCATTCACACTATTGCCATTGTTTGTACCACAAACCAGAACTCTATAGCCCCATGTTATGTCAATAATCTCCATCCTCCAATGTGTTGCTGCCCCCAATTCTCCTCTCTCCCCCCTCACTGCTATTGCCCCCTCACTGGTATTCCCCCTCACTGTTTTTTCTGCCCTCTCACTGCTATACCCTCCTCTTCAATGCTATATACCTTCACTGCTATTGCCCCCCTTATTGTTGCACCCTGGCCCTCTATGCTAATTCCCCACCCGCTCTGTCACTGCTATTTCCACTCCCTCACTATCACTATCTTGGGGATTACCATTGCCAGAAACCGAGCTACATTAGCCACATTTACACACTATGGCCACAAGAGCAGATCTGAGGTTAGGAATACTGTAGCATGTAACTCACCTCCTGACTCTCCAAAGCCCGTCCACCATCTAAAACACAAGCCAGCAGTGTGTCATGACTCCTCCAATACTGAAGCAATTCATATTCAAATGCAACAAGATCTGGACAGTATCCAGGCTTAGGCTGACAAGTGGCAAGTAACATTTATACCACACAAATGTCAGGCTATGACCATCATCAGTAAGAGACAATCTAACCACTGCCCATTGACATTCAATGGCGTTACCATCACTGAATCCCCCACTATCAACATCCTGGGGTTACCATTGACCAGAAACTCAACTGGATTTGCCATATAAACACAGTGGTCACAAGAGCAGGTCAGAGACTGGGAATACTGCGGCGAATAATTCACCTCCTGACTCCTCAAAGCCTCGCCACTATCTACAAGGCACAAATCAGGAGTGTGATAGAATACTTCTTTCTTGCCTAGATGAGTGCAGCTCCAACAACACTCAAGAAGTTCAACACCATCCAGGAAAAAGCAGCCTGCTTGACTGGCACCATATCCACAAGCATCCACTCCCTCCACCACCGACGCTCAGTAGCAGCAGTGTGTACCATTTACAAGATGCACTGCTGAAATTCACCAAAGATCCTCAGACAGCACCTTCCAAACCCACAACCACTTCCATTCAGAAGGACAAGGGCAGCAGATACATAGGAACAGCACCAGCTGCAAACCACTCACCATCCTGAATTGGAAATACGACACCATTCCTTCACTGTCGCCAAATCCTGGAATTCCCTCCCTAACGGTATTGTGAGTCAACCCACAGCAGGTGGACTGCAGTGGTTCAAGGTGGCAGTACATCACCACCTTCTCAAGGGCAACTAGGGATGGGCAAGAAATGCTGGCCCAGCCATTGATGCCCACATCGAACTTTATCAAATTTTTTAAAAGTCTGGAGTTAATAGAACTGATATCAGCCGGAAACATGGTGACTGAGCCCACTTAATTGTGGGAGATGCCTCATTTTTAACCCACAGCACTGGGGAGACCTGTCCTTGTTATTTTAGAGGGTGGAACAGGTTGCGGTGTGATTGCTGGCTGTTGGAATCAGCCACCTTAGTGAGCTCTATGAAACCCATTACCCCTGAGACCATCACAATTTACTGGTCGCTCAGGATTACAAAAGGACCAGAGAGACTTCCATGCCCTCAGAGGTTCATCCAACACAACCAGGTACTTCCAGTGAGTTGAGGATCTCTCACATTCACAAAGGTGGGGAATGCTGAAGGCCACACACACGGAATTTCTTCCAAAATCTCTGACACAGCTGTCCACACTCACCCCCACCCCTCCACACTTAGCCCTACCATCCCCACTCACCCCGCCCTGTCCAATCATCCCCACCCTCTACATAACCCCACCCCTCCCCACTCACACCCGCCCACCCCACTCACCCCCACCCCTTCCACTCACACCCCTCCCGTCCACACTCACCCCTACCCTGCACTCTCAACCCACATCCTCTCACTC